TGAAAAGAACTAAGAATAGGCACCAGACAGAATTAATCGATTAAATTAGGGACTTTAATCGATTAAAGTGTACAGAAGCGAAAAGGCTTGAATGCAAAGGTGGAATTAATCGATTAAAAAAGAGAGAAAAATCGATTACCTTGCTCTGTTTAAACTAATCGATTAAATGGACAAATTTAATCGATTAAGTCTATTGGCCTGAGAAATCCAGCGCTGAGAAATTGGATCTAATCGATTATTTTAGATAAATTAATCAATTAAAGTGAAAAAATAATGCGCAAACATGAAGGGCCCAAGCCAAGTGCGATTGGAAGCCTTTGGCTTCTAACTCATTGTTTGGGACAACAGGAATATCAACGGACGCTCCTCCTATTCAATGAATTTGAGTAGGGGAGAGAAAAAGAGTCCAAAAATTATTTTCTTACCAAAAAAATTGCGTAATCTTAAAAAAATGTTTTAAAGAAATTTTGACACACTTATTTTGAAACTGACTCACTAAAATATTTTAGACAGAGGAAAAGGTAATTTTTCAACTGACTCAAAAATAATTATTTTTATCCCTCAGAAATTAATTCGTTTGTGCAGAAAATATTGTCATCCTTACAAAGATTCCTAGACTTAATAAAAAATAAAAAAGTCTTTGGAGTCTTCACTTCACTTCAAAAAAATCTGCGTAGGGGTGATCGTCGATTTTTACCGCTGTAAACTTCTTGATACCCTTCTTTGCTTTTCTCGATACGAAAACAAATTTTTGATCAGCTTGAAATTAATCATCCTGTTTGTCATTCATCAAAACAAAAAAATATTCTAGAAGAAATAGTAAAGGGGTTTGAACTCATGTCCAACAATTTCTTGTTTACATAAGGTTTCTACATTATTCAATATATCCTCGAGCCCTTGTAGCACTATAGGATCTTCACAGAGTATCATCCTTGAGTTGGATTCTTTGAATTGTTTCGTGTTTTAGAACGTTGACTTGTTCCTGAGCGAACAGGTTGATTTTGGGCAAAATTAACTGAATATGATTTAGGGTTAGACGAACATTCTCGTTGGAAATGTCCAGGTTTACCACAACTTAGACATAATCCTTGCGCACGCCAGCAATCTCCTGGATGGTTCCTTTTACAAACGTTACACTTTGGATGTTTCCATACTCTCATTTTATTCATGGATGACGTCGATTGAATTGTCATTGATTTTCCCATTTTTGAGTGTAGGGCACTATCAATTTCTTGCAGGGGTCTCTTCCCACTTGTATTTGGTCGTTCATTTCGATTGACAATCTCTGTCTTTAGACTTTCATAGTAATCACTTAGATCTTTTTCGGCTTTGGAGATTAGATCGTACGCCTCAAGGAAATCCATAGTTTGAATAGTAGATACGTGCAGCCTGAGATCAGGTCGAAGTCTTTTGCAAAACTCTTCAATGTGGTCAGCCGCTGTTCTTACCAGCGTGGGTGCAAATTGAGCTAGATGGACAAATCTCTGTCAGAATTCAGGTAGTGTCATATCTCCTTGCTTTAATTCGATAAATTCAGCACGCTTCTCTTCACGGAATCGAGCTGGTATATATTCCTTCTTGAACGCCCAATCGAAGAATTCCCAAGTCCAAGGTTTGGGTGTGTTTAGATTTTCGTCAGTGCGTTTCCACCATTCATAGGCTTCCTTACGGAGTAATTGAGATGCAAATTTTGGATGATCAACAATAGGTATGTTCAATTTTTTTAGTACACGAGCGGTCTGCTCGATCCTTTATCTTTATTCTTACTTGCAATTATATTAACTGTGAAAACTAACCCATCCATATTGATTACTGCTCACTCTACCCACCAACTTCCACACACAATCTAAAGTTCACAAGAACTCTAGATTAACATTCATTTTCACATTTTCAAAAGAAACGAAAAAGTTTTAAATTTGTAACAAAGTCTATTCACCCCCCTCTAGACTTTGTACCTCACCACTTTGGGACCACCAATTGGTATCGGAGCTTACTTCTCACTATCTACGTTTAGATTAATGAGAAGCGACCATTATGGTGAACAATATGGATCACGGTTTGCCCAAGTTTTGTCTTCTAGGTTATGATGATTGGAAGATCATGATGGAAGCACATCTCTACGCTCTACATGATTGCATGTGGATGGTCCTTGAGGATGGACCCTTGAAAATCCAAATGGAGAACCCTGAGAGGAATCCAGCTGCTCCAGATGTAGTCTAGTACATTCCAAATCCCAAGGAAAAATGGGATGATAGAGATTGCAAAAAGCACAATCTGGACAACGTTGCCAAAGCAGCCATCTTCAAGACACTTGATCCCATCACCTTCTCCAAGATCAAGCATCTCAAGACTGCCATGGAGATTTGGCAAGGTCTTGGGAAGCTACGTGAGGGATCAGAGGACCTGAGAAAGCAGAAGATAGAAGTCCTGCTTGAGAAGTTCAAAAGCTTCAAAATGCTTCCCGGAGAATGTAAACTATACAACCTACTTTCTAAGGTGTTCTATAACTTACTAGAACGAAGTGAATTGGTGTAAGAAAGAGGGTTTCTTTTCTTACATTCCAACGACTCTAGTGAGGGTTGACTGTGGTACACCAAAGCCACAGCCATGGAAGAAGGAAGAAACCTGGAGAACTACACTGTTCAAGGTCTCCTTGATGAACTCAGAACATATGAGCACGAGCTGAAGAAGAAGAAGGAAGAACAAGTCACTCCTTTCCCCACGGCATTGATGACAACTCCAAGAATCCCATCAAGTGAAGGGACATGCACAGGAAACTGTGACACACCTTCCTCCAGCCAGCCGTCAAGCTCAAAAATGGAGAACAAGGATGAGGAATTTGTCATGATGGTCAAGCAATTCCGGAAGTTCAAGAAGTTCTTCAAGAAGGCTGATTTAGTCAGAAGGCCATCCAAGGGAAAGCCACAAGTAAGTGACTCCCCTCCTGAATCTTATTTATGCTATAACTGCAGGAAGCATGGCCACTGGAAGTCAGCATGCTCGTACCCAAAGGTGGAGAAGTACGGAGAAAGAGAAAGGAACGAGAAGAAAAAGAAGGCAATGGTTGCTGCTGAAAGTGACGAGTCATCCAGCTCAAGCTCGGATGAAGAAGCCCTCGTCTGCATGGGGCGCAGAGTTGAGAAGTCCAACCATGAGGATAGGTGGACTATGTCAGCAAATGACACTCTCTACCTAATGGCCAAAGATGATGCTGATCAAGAGGTAACCTCACAAACCTCCTGCTCATCTTATAGCATACCAACTTCTGAAAATCTTTTTGACCAGTTCAAAAAGATGATGAAAGATTTTGAGGAGATAAATCTCAAACACTCATCCTTAACAGAAGAGAACAAACTATTGAGTGAAATACTCAAACTTGTTGTGTCAATTATATACTTGAAACATTCCACTTGATCCAGCGATTGAATTCCATTGTTGTATCAAAATACTAAACCATTGAGAACTTGTCTTAACTCAACAAGATGCCCTAAACACGGGAACTTTAGTTGTTGATGCTGAAAGATCACTGAATGCCTTACTCAATCAAAGATTAATAACCTATTAAAGAAAGAAAGAGTTTGATAACATTGGGAGTACGTATCCGTGTGGAGAATGACGTAATTATGGTTTAACCAATTGAGCATGACACAGTCATGATTAAGTGAGATCTCTATGAAATGTTGAACGTTGGACCTTAGAAGAATTTCGAGGACGAAATTCCTTTAAGAGGGGGAGAAATGTAACGCCCCAAAATATACCCTAAAATTTATTGAATTAAATATTCAATTAAACAAATTTGTTTTGATTAAAATAAATTATTATTGGGCTTTGGGCTCGATATGAAATATGTTCTAAAGTCTAATATCACAATCTGGATAAATCTCAAAGAGATAAAATTTCAAATGTTGACTTATTATGTGATCTTGATTAGGAACCTGAGTACATACCCAGATCAAGAATAAATTAAGAAATTGACTTGTGATGTGAACTCTGAAATTATTTATTCAAATAAATCATGAGAGTAAACAACATGAATGAAATGAGAGAACCTTTTTGAATAAAGTTCAACTTAATCAATTTTGACTCTGTCAAAGTTAAACACCCAAAAATATGGTGTCGGAAAAAGTATTAGAAATAATCATGAAAATTATGTCATTGGATAAAGTTTAACTATCTGATTGCAATGCTGCAAACGGATTTCAATTTGGAGAAAGTTGGAGCAAAAAGTATATCCCGACTGTAACCAAAATTGGTCCCAATCAGGGAGTGGCGTACGAAATCAGAACATATCGCAGCCAATCCCACTACGCCGAACGAAGGATCACAAACAGCAACCCACATTGTCATCTTCTCTAGTTTCTTCACTATATAAAGCATCCCTCTTCTCCTTCAATTCTCCACCAATTCATGAAATTTTTCTTCCTAATATGTTCCTCTGAGTGTGGAGATTTCCATGATGCTGTCAATTTGGTGAGAAGTCGCCAGAGCAAGCCGTGGTGTTCGCTGGAAGTTTCATCGTTAAATCGCCGGAATCATCGTTTAACTTCGAAGTAAGCCCGTAGATATATCTAGTGACTAGAATGTTCGTATAGATCGTTTCTACGTTCATAAACGGTCGTTTGGTTGAGTTTTGTGTTTGACATGTTTGAAGAACCAAGAATCATAAACCATGAAATTGTTGTTAAAATTACGAATTAATGACTCTAAAATGATCTGTGAACATTGGAGAACATTTTTATATAATTAAATT